CAACATATAAGGATCAGTCGCATTTTTATGCAGCAATTAGGGCATTACTGAGAAAGAAATCAGAAAAGCAGTCTTATTCACAATAGCTACAAAAAATACTTAGGAAGATAATTAACCAAGACAGAGAATGATCTCTACAATGAAAATTACAAAACATTGATGAAAGAAATTGCAGGGGGCACACATACACACACAGCATACAGTGTTCATTGATTTGAGGAATTAATATTACTAATATGTACATACTATCCAGAGCAATCTATGGATTCTACACAATTTCTATCAAAATACCTATGACATTCTTCACAGAAATAGGAAAAAAAGTCCCCCAAAGTTGTATAGAATCATGTAAGACCTCAAAGTCAATCCTGAGCAAAAAGAACACAGATGTAACATTCAGGCATGGTGGTGCATGCCTCTAATCCCAGCACTTGGGAGGCTGAGGCAGGAGGATCTCCATGAGTTCCAGGCCAGCCTGGGCTACACAGTGAGTTCAAGGCCAGCCTGAGCTATATAGTGAGAACCTGTCTCAAACAAACAAACAAACAAAGATAGAGACATTATAATATCTGACTTTCAAACATACTACCAAAACAACAATTATTGTAGTAAAAGTAGACATGTACACCAATGGAACTGACTAGAAAACCCAATAAATCCACATATTCACAGTCAAATGATTTTTGACAAAGGCAGTAAGAAGATTCATTGGAGAAATAAAAGTCTCTTCAATAAATGGTGCTGGACATTCATATGCAGAAGAAACAAGCTAAATCCCAGTTTCTCATCATGTATAAAGAGGAGCTCAAAATGAGTCAAAGGCTTAAATATAAGACCCCTACACTAAGAAATTACTGAAAGAAAAGATAGGGAAAAGGCTTCAAGATATTGTTCTGGGCAAAGAATTTTTGTATACTGACCCCCCAAATACAGACAAAAAAGCAAAAATTTACAAATGGGATCACATCAAACTGAAAAGATTCTGTACAAGAAATCAAACAATAGAGTGAAGAGGCAACCAACAAAACAGAAGGAAATAATTTGCAAAGTATTCATGTGACAAGAAATTAACTTTCAGAATATATAAGGAACACAAAGTACTCAACAAAAGAAAGGAAGAAAAGGTGAATGATTTAAATAGACATTCCTCAAAAGAAAGTATACAAATTGCCAATAAGCATATGAAAACATCACTAACCATCAAAGAAATCCAGATCATAAATACTATGATCATCTCATCCCAGTTGGAATGGCTTCTTTCAAAAGAACAAAAAATAATAAATGTTGGCAAGGATGTAGGGAAAAGGAAACTCTCACACTGTTGGTGGGAATGTAAATTAATATAGCTATTATGGAAAATAGTATGGAGGGGGCCTGGGATTTAGCTCAGTGGTTCTGCCACCTGCCTCACAAGTGCAAGGTCCCAGGTTCAATCCCCCGTACCAAAAAAAAAAAAAAAAGAGTATAGAAGTTCTTTAAAAAAATCAGCAAACTAGAAATAGGACTACCAAGCAACTCAGCAATCCCACCACTATGTACACAGCCTAAGGAATTGAAACTAGTATGTTGAAGAGATATTTGCATGTGCATGTTTATCGCAGCATGATTCCCAACAGCTAAACTATGGAATCATCTTAGGTCCCCATCAATAGGTGAATAGATAAAAAAGTTACAATGAAACATATATATCATCCATACAAGTGAATGAAATACTTTCATTTGCAGCAAATGGATGAAATTGGAGGATTTTATATTAAGTGAAATGAGTTAGATACAAAAAGACAAAGAGCACGCATCCTTACGTATATATGGAAGCTAAAATACTGATCTCAAAAAAGTGGAGAATAGAACAGTGGTTAAAAGGGGCTGGGAAGTGAGCAGGGTAGGGGTGGGTAACAAATACAGGGGTGCAGTTGAAAAGGAGGAATAACTTCTAATATTGTACAGGATGGTAGGATAATGGTGGTTGACAAAAATTAATTGAAAATTTCACAATAGTTAGTAGACAAGGCTTTGAATATTCCCAACACAAAGACACGATAAATGCCTGAGGTGATAGGTATACCAGTTACCCTGATCTGTTCATTACACCTTGTGTATAGGTATTGAAATGGAATATGATACCCTATAAAAATATACAATCAGTTGCAAACAAAAATAGAAACATCGTACAACAAGCTCAAACCACAGAGTACTAAGTTGATAAATTTTACTGTGTTAAAATTTAACACTCCATATGGCAAAAATCATAAACAATATGAAAAATTTAGCAACAGTCTTGGAAAAGACATTTGCAAGGGGTTTGTACCCAGAGGATCAACATCCAGAATATAAAAGAACCTTATAAGTCCCCCAACCCTCAGAAAGAGCAATGAAAACAAACAGGTAATTTTCATATAAGGAAACGGATCAACCAATGTACCTATTAAAAGATCCTCAACTTTCCCTTCCCTGTTGTCAGAGAACTGTAAAATAAGACCAGTGTGATACCTTCTTATACCAATAGATTGACAAAAATCAGTTTGATGAGACCAGCTGTTGAATATAGAAATAGTCTCTCTCATTCACTGTTTGTGAGAGTATCACTTAGAGGAAATATTTGTAAAATATCTTTGGCAAATTCAAAGAAATCTACCTCTTTTACCCTGTAAATTTATTTCTAGATATATACTTTAGGCAGAGAGATTATCACAGGTCTTACAAAGAAATATGTAAAAGAATGGTAATTGTGTATAGCATTATTTGTAATAGGGAAAGACTGTAAATCATCAAAATGTTTATCAATACAAAGATGTAAAATAAATTGTAGTATATTCATTCCACAAAATACTGTATAGGTACATTTTACTGAACATCAGTAACAAGATAGCCTAAAAGATAACACTTTAAGTATTTATATAATTTGTATAGTGTTTTTATAAAATATAGTACTCACATGAACCTGAAAGGCATACACAATGCCCTACCGTTTACTATGGTTTATGGGTCTTTTACATAGACAGTCATAGTCAAAAACCCCAAAGTACACTGATCAGTCCATGTTAAGGGTCCAAAGAGAAAAAGACAGGAACGTGGAGCCAGGGAAGGGGACACAAGGATTTCAACTGCACTTGAGATTCTATTTTTCTTCAACTATAACATTAACAGACCTCAGGGCCCTAGGACAAAATCTGTGAATCTGAGCCTAGTGGTAGAAACTGGAATACTCATTATTTTATTTCATATATATTTCTTTTCCTATTTGAAATATTTTGTAATAAATACAAAAATGTATGTGTACATCGAACTTTAATAATCAGAATCCTATTTTCTCAGGAGGTTTTGACTGTATGATCATTTCAGAGGGAATTTCTCTTCTTTTTTCTTCTACAAGTCAACTAGCCCAAAAGCCAAGAAACATTTGCTTAGTGCCTGCCATTCACCAGGACAAAACTAATATATTATCCGGCTGTGCATTACTATAAAAAACTCCCAAGGCAATGAATTTACAGAGAGAAAGGGTTTATTTATTTTTTCGGTACCAGGGATCGAACTCAGGACCTTGCACTTGCAAAGCAGGAGTAGTGCCACTGAGCTACATCCCTGGCCCTATAAGAATGGGTTTATTTTAGCTCATGGTTCTGGAAGTCTCAGCCCAAGGCCCCTTTGCTTTGGTCCTGTGGCAAGGACAGCACATCATGCCAGGAGTGGGCGGGAGTGCAAACTGGCATCCATTGTGACCAACAAGCAGAGGAGGCAGAAAGGAGCTAAGGTCCTACAACCCTAATGATGCATGGCCCTTCCAGGAGGCCCCACCTCTCAGAGGGCTGTGGCACCTCCCAATACCACTGGGAACCAAGGTTTGCACCTTGGGGATGCACATCCAAAGCACAGCAGTTAGCTCTGGGCACACAGTGGTGAGAGAAACAGCTGAGACGATGTATATCCCAGTGCAGTTATAAGCGGACAACTACGAACTGTGGTGAAGGTCACAGAGAGAAAAGTAGGGAGTTACCACGACAAACAGCAGCCGGGACTAGGGGTGGGGAGTGGGAGAGGGATATGCCTTGGCAGACACTCACTGAGTGTCGGCTGCCCAACAGTATTCACATGCCTTTTTCCTTTGTCTTCCTCTGCTATGCAGACTGGGAAGCCAATCATGACTTTTCAGATTCCCCTGCAAGTGACACAGTTCTAACCAATTACATAGAGTTAGGAGACTCTGGTGATGAAGCCCCTCCTCGAATAACAGTGGAAAACTCCACTGGAAGAAATAGTGACGATGGAAGCCAATGTGATACAGAATGCATCACAGAGGGATAGCTGGATGCTAGGTCCTGGATGACATTGTTGAGTCGTGGGCCCACTGGACTTTTGGACTGTGTTTCAGTCAAGTAAATTAATATCTACTTCCTTGAGCCACTATCAGTACAGTTTTCTCTTATTTGCAGTCTCAAACATCCCAATCATAGGGCGGGCTTTTAGAAGGGGCGACATTTAAGTTGAGAGGAGAGGAATGAGAGGGACCAGCCATGCAGAAAGCAGAACAGAGCGAGAAAGTGGGAGGGTAAGACCGGCAGAGAAAAGAACAGCCTGTTTCAGAGGCTTGGCAAACAGTGTAGGAACTCAAGGAAGCCCACTGAGCTCGGTGCTGAATATCAGCAGTGTGAGAGCTTTGCATCTGCTAGGAAGCTGAACACTTGACTCCCTTAGGTGCTAGGTTAAGAACAGTTCAGTTAATGATCTGTAAACAAAAACACTTCAATAGCACCAAGGAGAGTTGCTGTTTTTAGAGATTCCTTTCAATAAAACAAAGGATCACCCCTAATTCACTTACTTGGATATTTGCAGCTGAGTTTTCAAAGTAAAATCTTCAAGTTCACAAGTTTAGCTTCCTCTGCCTCCTCCCAACTCTCTAAGGTAGGGTTGGGTGGGGGGTTAGTAGCATCTCGTTCTCTTTGACACCAAGTAAATTGCAACGATACGATTTAACCAGAGCCCAGCCAACCATGACTTAGGCATTCCCTGTGCTACAAAGGTTTCTATTTTGTTCTGTATTTGTCTGAGTTGCAAGAGGCGACTTCATTGTTGAAGAGTCAGACTTGACTCACACAACAACACAAATCCAGTTCCTTCCATCCTGTCCTCACTGGCAGAAAGGAAAGGGCTGGCTGATTTTTAATGTGATTTTTTAGTGGTCTTTTGCCCAGATCCTACACCCTTTTGGCAAACGAAGGTGATTTTATAATATAGTATTTCCCAAGCACTTAGGTAGGTAGGGTGCCAGTTCAGGCAGGAAGCCTACTGCTTAGAAGAAAACATCCATTTTCATGTGGAAAATCTTAATTGGATGGGTGTCCTGGGAGTTTCCACGTGGCTATTGTAGAACACACCTGGGTATTTAGTATTAGTTTCCAGACCTCTCCTTTCTCTTCCTTTTGGCTGTCTGCAGCTAAACTATAGCTATCTAATCCTTTTAATCTTTCTTCGGCATCCTTTCCCCGGGCTCTGGAATTCATTCCCTCTTGTTATTCTCTGCACTGCCTCCAAATTGCCCGAGCTCTCCCTGTAATGAAGTGGTGGGAACACAATGTGTGGTGCCAGGTGCAGCTCTGCTAGAACTGTCCACAAAGGACCTGTTATCCCCCCTCCTTCTGCACCGGCAGCTCCAACCTGGACTTGCCTTTCCTCCTACCAGACTTCGTGCGTGGCTGGCCTGAATTTAATTTGTACACCACCCAGTCTCCTGGGCCCACTTCAGCATCACTGCGAGCTGGTGCCCGCTTCCCCGAGAACAGCTCTGTGTGTGGATTCTCTTTCCCCAGGTCTATCAGTGCCTCGTCTTTTCCCAAATGTTCACATCCTCATTCCCAGCCTACGCACCTCAAATCTCCAAAGTCATTTACATTTTATTTCTGTTAACTCGAGCTGCTTACGATAGTTTCCAAATTGGAATCATTAGTGAGTTCCAAAACGAACAGCTTCTTTCCTTTATACTATCCCGGTCACGAATGAGGATGCTTAAATAAGAGACTCACACAGGCACCAAGAGCGTATTAGGTAGCACAGCATCTTAATCCTCTTTCAGTGTAATCCCTTCTACCAGCATTGTCACTTTGAAACTTCGCAGTTTACTGGAGTTTTTCAGTCAATTTTAAATCCAAATACTCAAGATGCCAAATATTTATTGAGTATTATGCCAGGTACTGTAAGAGGGTCAAAATCATGTAAGACGCAGTCTTGGAATTGTCTTTCAAAAGGTTTCTCTCACTACAGAGGACCTAAGGTCTCCCACAGTTCAGTACTTAATAAAACTCTTAAATGTACCCAGCACTGTCAGGAGCTGAAACACCGAACAGAAAAAGTATAGAGTCCCTGTCTTCAGTGAGTTTCTGCTGTTGCAGATGATGGCATATAATTACAATACAATGTAAAAACAATGATAAAACTTACACCTGGGATGTTGAGTTTTCAGCCTCGGTTTCTTCATCTGTAAAATGGCACTGATTGTCTAAGTTGCAATTAAGGTTTACACAAGACAAGGCATAGACAATCCTCAGAGTGGTGCAACACAATGTGCTGAAATGTTATAATAATAATAGTTATAAGCATCATAATAAAACTAATATTACTATTATCTCCCACATTCAATCTGATTGATCGGGGCTACCTTAGACACTCTAATAGGAGAATTCAGAAATGCATACTGGGGTCAGTAGTAAAGAACACCATGGTGAATGCCAGTATTACAGTGGGCAGGAAAAGACGCTATTTATGCAAGCATTTACTTTGCTGAGTATAAACAACTAGCTACAATGTGGCTCGTCTTCCGCACTGCACAGGAGATAGGTGGCTGCGCTGCAACAGGAGGAAGCTGAGGTTCTATTGTAGGAGCTATGACACTCTGTGGCTTTTAGTCCTGTCGTAAATTGATTTAGAAACTCCAGGCGTGTTTTAAGCGTGGCATCTAGGAGGTTAGCTAAGCTGGGTTTGGATACGATTTTCTGCTAAAGAAATAAGGTTATTCCTGCCTTGAATGGTTGCAGAAACTCTAGGTTTTGGAACGAAGTTCTCACCAATCTGTAACAAAATGACAGTGATAAGGAAAGTGGAGAAAGGATTTCATGCAACGAAGTGTCCTTAATTTTAAGGCTTGATACTGTGTTCTATTTTGCAGGTGTAAAAATGTCATCCTTTTCATAGAAAGATACTCTGAAGATTTCTCCTTCTGGATTTGGCCTCAAAGAGTTCGAAATTCTATAGTGCTTATTCCTATGAAAGCTTATCTCCTCCTAGGGCTTTAAATACCAATGATATGCTGATAACTCCCAAGTGTGGCTAGCAATAAAATGCTCCTCCAGGCTTCAGACACATATATCCTCCTGCCGTTCATATCTCCCAAGCACCTTAAATTTAGCGAGTCCCAAAGTAACCTCTGACTTTTCATTCCTGCCAACTTGCTCCTGTCTTGGTTTTTCAGGGTCAGTGATGATAAATTAAATGGCAAGTTGCTCTGTTGTCCAGGAATATAGAAATCATCTTTGATACCTCTGTCCTCCACTTCCCTCTTATCTATCCATAAGCTTCAGTAATTTTAATTCCAAAATGTTTCAAATCCAACTAGTTATCAGTCATCATCCTAGTCATATCAAGGTCACTCAAATCCCACCAAAATGCTCTCACTCCTTCCACTCTTGCGTCTGTCCTCCAATCCATTCCTCAGTGGCATCTAGAGGACTCTTTTAAAACATTAATCCTGCTTAAAATTCTTTCATGATATTCTGTTACTTTTAACACAAAGTTCAAAATCCTTACCATGGCCTACGAGGCCCTATATAGTCTCTAGTATGTTAAGTACAAATAACAATCTCAAAGGGAAAGATTTCCCCATGACCCTCTGCTGATGGAAAATTAATGTTACATGCCCCTGGAGAACCAGGTTTATTTCTATCAGAGCACCTCTCTCATGTGAATTTTGTATACACTGGTGTAACTGATTGATTGATACCATCTGACCCACCAGACTATGTGGTCCTTGAGTACATGAATTATATCTAGTTTGTTTTTCATTACATTCTCAGGGTAATCTTTAGTAGCCATAGATAGTATGTGCTCAAAAAATATGCACTGAATTTACAAATGAGTGAAAAGAAGGAAAAAGTATCTGTAGTTACTAAAATAATAAGATGATCACCCTTGGTAGGACATAGTGAAGAGGAATTTGCTTTCCTGGTCTCTGAAATCCAAAGGTCTGAGAAATACTGCTCTGTTCTTGAGGAAGATACATCATCCCGATCAGTTTATCTTGGATGTTGGCAAGCGGTGCTGCAAATGGCCTTTCCCAGCTTGTGGGAGGTGCTAGTAGGACCAGATACTGGTGGGATTGTTCGCTACTGTCTGGGGCGGAGCAGTTTTGGGGGTCTATTTCTAACTCTAGAAATCCAGAACTCTGAGTGAGACTCTTTAACTCAGTAAATGCCAAAATAAATCAATGAATAAATGTATATGCCATTCATCTCAAGTTTCAGCTTTGTATTTTGGAAAGATTTAGTTGCATATGTTTTGTCTGATTTTTCAATAAGATCTAAAGATAGGGAAAATATATTTAAGGTAAAATTATGCCCATATATATCAATTGGCTCTACAGTCTCCCAATTCATAGTACGTATTGGGCTATCAATTAGAAAAGCAGGATTCTAAGCCAGACAATCAGATTTACATCCCCGGCAGCAGCTTGCATTATAACATGTGGATTGTCACATCAAACATTGTTACTGAGATCCAGATGTTCCAGTTCCTGACCTTCTCTGAGAGTGAGTGGTTGTCAGATACTCCTGTCCAAAAGCAAAGCAGTTGGTACTTCACTGGAGGGCCCCTCGCTTGTCAAATGTTCTCCAAAGAATATGAAATTGCTTGTCATCCTTGTCAAAATTACAGATGAATGGAATGTTTGCTATCTCTGTTGTAATTAAAAATTCAATTGAAGGAAAATTTGAAATCATTATCAAGTTTTTCAGGCAGAAGCTGTTTTGGAGAAAAGCAAGCTGTTTCTAGTTTAGGCGTTTACCTGCATTCGGAAGACGGACCAAAACTGGCCCAAGAAGAGGGAGAGATGGGGATCAAGGTGAAGCAACAGTAAAAGCAAGCCACAGACCACAGCATTCCCTCTTTGATAGCAATTTCCCTCATTCCAGCACTACCCTGTGTAATTGCAATTCTCTAATTGGATTGTGCCATTTCATTAACATTGAGGACCACTGTCCCTAATGAGTCTTTTCAAAATGAGCAAACAGGAGGTAGCTTATCATTATGGCTCTCATTTATAATGACTTATCTATCAGATGGATATTATTGGAAAAATTAATTGCATTACAGTAGGTACCACTGAATGTAAGTGCTCTTGGTTCTTAGGAAAATGATTACCCTAAGTGGCTGATCATGTTAATTGACTACAGAGATTAGGGATCAGCTATGGGAAAAGCAAGTGCGTGTGCATATCCGAACAGGAAAGTCTCCATTGTATAGTCGCACAGCAGAGACCGGGGGAGAAGGCAGCCACACCTCTGCCAGCAGCTGGTTAAACCAGACAGTTTCTTACAATAGGACAAAACTTAGTAGTAGTAATATTTCAACAGCAGGCTTCACTTACTGAGCACTTGCTATGTACTAATGATGAGCTAAACTCTTTAAACTCAGAGTCACACTTAATCCTCACGTTAGCCCTCTGAGATATCTCACAGGAAGGAAATCAATTTGGTTCTAAAACCAGTACCCTTCATCACGAAGCTGGACATCCTAGAGCCAGGCTCAATAGAGCACAGAGTCCCTGGGGCATTTCTATTATTACCCACTCATCCTATCAGGCTGGACACAGCCAGTACTTTGGAGGTCGAGGCATCAAGCTACGACAGTGAGTCCAAAAAGTGAGTATATTTCTTTTCTATTCACGTGGGGACTTTTGGACATATTGGAAAACAGATTTTAGGAGAAAATGGCTTTGTCTTTATTTCTGTGATTACAATAGTAATCAGCAAATAGCAGTAAAGTCTGATTTTAAAAAATCAGGTTGGATCAAATTTTCCAAACTTTGTTAAGAAAAAAAAAGTGAATAGTACACCAAATTTGTAGCTGAAAAGTTGTGATGAAGCAAAGTAACGTGTTCTGAAATATGACATCTAGAAGCATACAACCCTTCTTCACAGAAACTCCTATGACACTCCCCGTCAGATGTGACAATGAGGACACCTCAGGAATCTTCACTGTCCCAGTCACTATTCCAGGCATGTGGTTTTCACACCATGTGTTTCAGCTTTTGGAAATGCGGAAACAGGCATGAGTTGATCTGAGAGTGCATGTTCATGGAGTGCTGGGAAGACAGGTTGAATAGGGGGTGGGGAGTCACAAAGCGAGGTCTCTGAAAGGCAGAATGTGCATGGAAAAGGCAGGTTGAAAGGTTGATCCTGTCAGTTGGGTAACAAACATTTATATTTCAAGACTGAAATAGTTTATGATGCGCTTGAATACGTACAATCAGTGGATATTTTGAGGGTGCGCCAGTGAGGCCAGAAGATCATCGGCACTGGTAGAGCAAGTTTACGCACAGTGTTGGGAGGAGAATCAGATGCTGGGGTGGGGCAGCATGGAATCATGTGTAAGTGACAGGGAACACTCTGATTGGCTGGTGAGAAAGCAGCCTGACCAGGACAATGAGACACTTCTCAAGATGGAGGTCACCTGTTTAATCACTGTGTCCATTTTAGGGGAGTAAGTACTAATGTCCTACACCCATGAGACAGGACTTACTTTTTTCCTCTTCCACTTCTCATGGCCCACTCCCTTCTCTACACATCCTTCTAGCCCTAGAGGTTTCAAGGTTTAAGTCCTTCCAGGTTAAGGCCCACTTTTCCTCTGGAGTCTGTCCCTCCGTCCTTCCCACTTCTTAGGGAATGAGCTACAACAGTTCTTTTCTCTTTTTTATCATGTACTTCTAACTTTTCCTACTATTGGTTCCTTCTCTTCAGCTCCCAGCCTTAAACTTCTCAACTCTTCAAATCACCCATTCTCAACCCTGCACTTTCTTGAGCTCCATTTAATGAATTCCCTTCCTTTCTCCCAAATTTCTACACAGAAAAGCACTCTGTGTTTACTCTCCCACATCCACTTCTCAGTTGACTTAGCCACCACTGCAGTGAGATGGCTCTAACTCTGAAGCCATGGCTTTTCTACATTTGGGGACTAAGCTCTTACTGTGGATTTCAGTGCTTCGATGTCACTTTGTATCACACCGCCGATCTGAACCACTGTTCCTCTCGTCTCTGTGACATGACACTGTCTTTCATCCAGTTGTCTTAATTTTATTGTTTCCTCTGGGACTTTCTCTTTTTCAGTCCACTCTCAAAACTGGTATCCCCAAGGGCCGGGGATTTAGCTCAGTGGCACCGTGCCTGCCCCACAAGCGGAAGATTCCAAGTTCAATCCCCAGTACCAAAAAAAAAAAAAAAAGAGAGAATACAGACCATCATTATTGTAATAGGAAACTATGGTACTACCCAAAATTAAGCTCACACATTTTTTAAATATCCCAATTCACCTGGTTTACTTCTTATAATTTACTCTAGTGTTTCTGAGCTCTAAAGCAAATGATTTGGGATCATTTTCCTATGTTGTCCTCGATAACTGAATATTTTACCTATTTCCCTACCCCTTTGACTACAAGCTTCAATCCTTCCTTTGTCCAAAAGTGTATAGCCCATACGGAGTTTCCAGTTCTCATTTTGTATTTTTATCTGATGTTCTGGTCAACTTTTAGATGGCAGAGGAATCCACAAATTGGATTTTGCATGTAAAAACATTAAACTGAAATGATGTTTGATTAAGCCTTCTGCTGCCCAGTAGAATAGTTATCAAATGCTGATTTGCTCATGAAGCAAATACAGTTAAGTTATAAAACCTGCAGCCCATTACTGATAGCATTTAATGTTTTTTCTTTAAGACTAATAGCTTTACCTTTTGACCTAGAGAAAAAAAAGAAGCCCTAGAGCAGCAAATAAGCTCATGCTTTCAATGCTGTTCAGAATTTTAATAATATTTTGTCCAATATTTGGATTCACTTCCCTAAGGATAAGAGAAAGCAAATTATTTAGTTATCACTTCCACTCTAAAGGAGAAAATACCACCTGCATATAATATTAATAAATTCATGGTCCTAGTCTATGTTCATTTTAAGTGACTGCTCTATGAAAGAAACAGTCCTTTTAGGTAGATAAAAAAAAAGAACATGGGATTCTGGTCCCAACATCTTTCTTGCCTGTTACGTGACCCTGAAGGGTAATATTCTTTCTTTTGTCTCACTTTGCAAAAGTCATGAAAATTAGAACTTGTTTATTACCAGAAAGCAAGCCATTTGGACTTTAGAAGATATCATACTGTTGTCTAGTGATTACTGTCCTCTGAAAGAAATCTATTAATTTCACCAGTGGTACTAGAATTCCTGGTACCCTGGATTACACATGATTAGAATGACCAGACTTTCAAATATCACACAACAGATTGCCACAAAGCCAGCAGAATTTCACAGAGCTTGCTGTGCACCAGAAACATTTCTAAGCACTTTGTTTTTATGGGTATTGGCTCATTTTGTTCTTGCCACCACTCTAAGAGCCTAAGATGGGAACCATAGGCTCTCACTTCTATCCAGCACCTTTTCTCCCATACCCTACTGCCTTAGACATGATTAGTTGGTATCCATGGAGATAATGGCATAGTGTGGATGGTCTTGCTTTATGTTCAAAAATTTCTAATGAACTCACAGTCTTAGCAAGTAGGAATGGACAAGGATTTGAGAAAGCGTTTGGTCTAACCAAGGTCCAGAGAAGTGAGCTGATGTAGCCATTGTCATGTACCTCATTGGTGGCAGATTAGAAACTAGAACATGGGGATACCAAGTCCTACATAACCTGTTATTCCATAATTTTTTTCTTATGTGAGAAGTGAGGTACTTATTGACTTCCAAGCTATTTCTAGACCCACCTTCAACCTTCCAGGCACCATTTTAGTCATGAATAGAGAAAAGTGTTTACCTTCATGGAGTTATGGTGTTCAAATCACTAAATAAATAGGGATTTATTGAACACCAATTATGCACTGAGCTTTAGTGAAGTTTCATCAATGAGCTAGAAAGAGAGTGATCAGTGAATTTGGGGAGGAAAAGAGTGTAAGGAATAATCCTCGATCTCATATGAATTACATAAAAGACAAGGAAAAAAATGAAACAGTCATAAGAAAATTATCCAGTCCAGTTTTAGGGTAAATCAATACCAAGAGACTGCAGAGAAGAAGTGTGATATGATTTAAATGTCCCTGCCAAAACTCATGTTGCAATTTAACTGCCATTGTGAGTGAATTTCAGAGGTGGGATCTTTCAGAGGTGATTAGGATCTCTCAGGTGGATTAATGTTCTTACGGAAGGAAGCAGACTGGGTTTTTAGAAACGGGAATTCCACTTGACTTCCTCTGGGTCTGTCTCGCATGCCCTGGCTTGCCCTTCTGCAGTGGTGTAAGGCACTACCAAGGTCTTTGTCAGAGGGTGGCACCATACTCTTGGACTTCCCAGCCTGCATGACTGGGAGTCAAATAAATCTCCTTTCTTCATAAATTGCCTAGTGTGTGGAGTTCTGTTATAGCAGCAGAAAACAGACTAAGACAGGGAGATCCAGAAAGTGGGAGAAATCCAATGGAGGACACAGAGAGGTAAATGTGATGGTTGACTGCCGTGGAGAATGAGGGAGCCACATAGATGGAGAGACATGGATGGCCTTTAAATGCATAGGCTGAGTGAATAAAGTCAGAAAGAGCTGAAATTTAACATGTCATTTATATAAATTAAAATACATGCACATATAACAATGCTTTACTTTCCTCTTTCCTGAGATACATTCATTACCTGACACCCACAACTTAAAGGATGAGAGGTTTATTTTGGCTCAGTTTGCAGAGGGTTCAGCCCATGGCTGGCTGGCTCCCTGGCAGGGCAACATGGCAGAGGTTTATGGCAAAACAGAAGCCACTCGTGGCATGATGGACAGGAATCAGGAGTGAAGGAAGGAACTGGGGAGGGAGATACACCCTTCCAGGTCATACTCACAGTGATCTGCTCTTCCAATGAGACCCCACCTCCTACAGAAAGCCTCCATAATCCAGTCATCTTCCAAAAGCTCCACCTATGAGTGTAGGAGGCTTTGGGGGGACATCTAAATATAAACTATAACAAACAACAACTTTTTGGGACAAGGCTGTATACAAAAAAAGGAAAGATCCACATAAAACATAATAGATCATGGCCACGGGTTCAATCCTCCGTACCATACATACACATACAGATAATAATAGAATGCCTGCCTATGCCAAGAGAAGAAAAAGAATAGGAACAAATACCATAAACAAATTAATTGATTCATTGCAAAACTTGAGCACCGCCTTTGTAGACCAATAATGAAAATGTGTCATGACCTGATTCTATCAACTGTACCCCCTCAAGTTCAAGGAAAAAAACTTAAGTTGGCCCGGGATAGACATGGTGGAGGTGTGTATGATGGACAGACCACATTCAGGCTAAGAGAGGAATGGCAAAAGCCATCTGGATGACAGGGCAGGATGAGAAGGCAGAGATTGTAGTGCCTGGAGGAGGGTGCATTGAGAGGAGATCTGGGTGGTATGTGGCTTGCATCTCTCAGGGGAGCCCTCAGAAGACAGGCAGAGGCCTTGGAGGTGACGCAGTCAAAGGCTGACTATAGTGGGATTCCTGAGCAGGCAGGTGACACAGACAGAACTGACAAAAAGGGGGATCCAGCAGCAGCTTCAGGCAGAAAGACCAAGAAGCCAAACATCTAGGTGCCCAGGCTGTGGACCTTCAACTGTGTGTGAGGGCCTGAATTAGTGATGGCCAAGGGGATACATGCCTTCCTCCTGGAGTGAGTCAGCACTCTCACGGGACTGGGTTAGTTGGTTCAAGAGTGGGTATGATAAGCCAAAGGTGGGGGCACACGTCTGTAGTCCCAGCCCTTTGGGAGACTGAGGTAGGAGCATTGCAAGTTCAGGTTTCACCCGAGCGATTTAGCAAGACCTCATCTCAAAATTTACAAAATAAAATGAAAAAAGGCGGTATCTCGGTGGCATAGTACCCATGGCCTTGATACCCAGTGCCAATAATAAATAAATAAATAAATAAACGAACAAAGAGTGGTGTCAAAGCAAAGCTGTCCCTTGTGTTCTCTCTACTGTGGGCGCTTGCTTGCCCTTGCACCTTCTGCCAGGTTATGGCACAGCACAATTGTCCTTAGCGTGTTGCTACCACAATCTAGGACTTCCCAGCCTCCAGAATCACAATCTAAATAACCTTCCTTCCTTTGAAATGACTCTGTCTCAGGTATTCTGTTGCCACAACCGCAAACAGATTAAGATACATATATTCCCTGAGGGCACCACAAGTCCTTGGAGTTGTGTTAGTTTGATTATTTGTACCGGACATTTTTGAAAGTTTGCTTCAGAGTAACCGTGGTTCCTGAAAGCAGTTAAGTGGGTCATTTGCTTAGCTTTCCTTAGCGGTAGATTAATTAGCCAGCTGTAACTCCCGGATCTCTATTTTTAAATAATGACTTGCATAAATCTCCAAAGACAAGAACTCACCACGGGTACACAGCACAATCCGGCAGCTGCAAGTTATTATGCCCAGTGGAAATTAAATATCTTTTAGGGAAATCATGCAAGATCTCATGATAACTATGAAATCAACCCCTGCCACCTCTATGCCCACCTCATTTCTTTGCTAGCCTGCTATTCTAATAAGCAGAATCTCTGGGGTCCTGAAATGACAGCAGAGCTGGCAATATTTAAAAAGGCATTATTCTTCTATGAGCATCTGTAGAATATACAGCCTTTGTCCTTGGTTGGGCTAAAAGCTCTAGAAATCAAACATTAATAAACATACCCAATAGGCCCCTCCTTCAATATCATGAACCCAAGGTCAGACAGAGATACTTATAATTCCGGGGATGTAAACAAACAAAGCATTTTACCATTTTAATTTGTTTCCTCTGCCAAATATGCTCAAATTCACACTACTCCTTCCTTCTGATCTAATACATTCTGGTTCTCTATTTCTCCCTTCTTTATTTATAAGCTTCAGGCTTCAAAGAACATGTGACCTTTTGCGGTCCCTTCTTGCTCCCCATTTTTACATTAGGTTTGGCTTCTTGTCATTTGTAGGGGATGTGAAACTGAGCTCTCAGTTAGACTGAAGCAGAGTAAAGGGGATGCAAGCACAGGCCACAAGTGGCCCCCCACCATGCTGCATTTGGAAGGGTCCTCCAGTCTCCAGTGATGTCTGCACTAGGGACCCTTTGTAATTGCATGTGAAACATGCTTGTCATTTCCACTGAGAGGAGGACTTGATTGGTTTGGCCATTTCTGATGAAACGCTAATATCAGACCACCCTGCTGTTTTGTCAGGCAACCCTTCACTGCATGGGTGAAAATGGAATCCTCCATTTTCCTAGGTTATTGGAAAGACTCCCTAACAAATTTCTGATTTCCTACTTGAGCACCAATAATCAAAATTCCAGGAGAGGAAAAAGAAGCACCACCTCAATACAGGTGCTATAATTCTGGGTCAGGTGTGAAGCAGAGGAAATTGGGAAGGAGCTGCAGGAGGAGCAGAGTGAAGCTCATGACAGGAGCCCTGCTTGGGGAGGTCATCTCTCAAGCTCACAGTGGGCCACTGTCTCATCAAATGTTCACCTTGATAAAGGACCTCAGTGAACTTTCCAAGCCCTGCAAGAGGCCTGTGTCTTTCCCAGGGAGGGCTGCAAACCTCAGTGCTACTGGGGAGCCTGATTTTCCTCTTTCTTTATATCTGAGTCCAGTCTTGGCTGCAGCCTGGGCCTTCACCTTGACCTCTGACCTCCCACGTGAAGAAGTTAACACGGCTCCTGCCTCCAGCTAATAGATTCCCACATTGCTGAATTGAGTCTATCTTATCAATTTCGTGAACTTCATTCTTTGGCATAAAGGTCATTATTGTGTTTTGCACCTGGAATCATACTGCAATGAGGCAAATCACATTCTCTTTCAGTCAATGAGGGGGAAAAAGCACACAAAATGGAAATTACTCCTAAAACGACCTTGCTAGATTTCTGCATCTGACTAACAGAGCCTGCTTCTATACATCAAGAAACTGATCTGGCAGCTTTGTCATACAACCAGGCAGCCCAATCCCATGTCAGCAAACATGCTATTATGGAACATATGGCAACAGCCCATTAATAGTGTGCACCATTGATAAATTCCCAGAGTACCACGGGTGATGTTTACTGATTCACTGCCACCCTGCCCCAGGCTTCCAAACATGTCAGAAAAACATAATGTCACTCATATTTGCATTCAAAAGTTATTCCATATTTACATACGCTAATAAAAACCAAAGTTTGCTCTTTAAGGAAGAGGAATGTTCTGTAATCAGTTTTCTAAGACACCCACGGGGTTGATGTGTTCTACGTATACAGCATTTGCCAGAGTAGCACCTTGGAAGATGGAAAAAGGCTGGTTCTGTGGCTTCTCACCTCTGGCAAGGTAGATGGTGTTTTAGAGCAGACAGCCACTCTCTAGGGCTGGAGGTTCTTGCAAATTATTCACTTCCTAAACAGCTTGCCTTAGATTTGTCTTAGTGCCTGAGGAAATATTTGACAAACCAACGAACAAATGGACTACGAGGGTAGCCATGATTTGACTGTGCCTTTTAAATCCTCTGTGCCTTTCATTAATAACCAGCTCCCTGGAAGACACCCTGTGGGACCATCTCATATCCATATTACTCAGGATGTGATGCTCTGGCTCTGAGTACCACTTGTAATATCATGAGCAAGTCACTAACATCTGTGTGGGCCTCAATTCCTTTATCCATAAAATGGGCAAGTTACACCATTTGTCTTGACTTGTAAGGATTCTTTACATTTCAAGAGACAGAAATCCACTTCAAAATATTTTAAGTGACATGTAAGGAATATGTTGTTATTTTTTTGGGGGGGGGTACCGGGGATTGAACTCAGGACCTTGCGCTTGCGAGGCAGGCAGCAGAACCACTGAGCTAAATCCCCGGACCCCGTAAGGAATATGATTATTGGTCCACATGGCTGAGAAGGGTACTGGGCTATCTGACCAAATGAAAGTATGGGGACGAAGGACTCAAATGTGAGTGTCAAAGCTAAAGCCACCAGAGCTTACTGCAGTGTTTGGCTTCATACTTTTCAATAATAGCTGTACTTTTTGAATTTGGTCTCTTTTAGACTCAATATCACATTATTCTAGCATCATGAAAACAGGGGTAATGCTGTTCATATTTACTTTTATTTATTTTTATTTTTTATTTTTTTGGCACCAGGGATCAAACTTGGGACCTTGTGCTTGTTAGGCAGGCGCTGGAACCACTGAGCTAAATCCCTGGCCCCATTATTTACTTTTAAATCCAATCCTTGTTTAACATTCCAAGGGACACCTCAGATTGGTCCTACGGCATCACATGTTTATTCTACCAGGAGCAGTAGTGTGATTGACCTAGCACGGAGTTGAGGCCCCCCCCATATGGGGTGAAAGGTAGGGGCTGGATAGAGTTGCCAGAGAAAAGGGATAAAAACTTTGCTAAGCAAATAAGACAAAAATAAAAACTATCTCTCTGTCCTGGTACATAACAAGTGCTTGAATGTGCTCTGTAAACTTCTGAAAGTTATACACAAGTCCTAGAAAACTAATTACCAAATTCTACTTCTTTTTCTATTTGAGGGTAAGACTGGCCTAGGGCAGTGTCAATGACAGTTTTAAGGATAACAATTGAAAAAGCAATTAGTGCATTCAGGAACTGATTTTTCTTAGTGTCTTGATGTAAGGACTATGAAATAGGTATTATCATTGCTTCCAGTTTTTACATAAATAAATGGAGGCAGAGAGAAGTGAAACAACTTTTCCAAAGTCGCATAGCTAGTGGCAAGGCCAGGGAATGTGGGCCGAAGTTCATACTCCCTACTACCAGGCCTGGCTGCCTCTCTGTTCTTCAGTATCAGAAGTACAACGTATAGGTTGAAAAGCAAGGAATATTTTCATTGGACTGGGTTGGGGAGGGGAAGGGCATATAAAAAGAATTCATATGTGTTATGTACATGCACCAACTCACCACTAGGAATGAATTGTTATGTACTGCAAACATGGACTAATAAAAATAAAAATTTTTAAAAAAGCAAAGTATGGGGTACTGGCTGAAAAGCAAGGACTATCTTCATTGCACTGTATGCCTTTTCTTTGACACACCGAAAACTCCACAAGATTAGTAACAGTGTCTATCTTACTCATAGTTGCATAAAATATGCCACCTTAAGGCCTCCATGACTGGTATGAAAAGAGCAGAGATAATTAGGATTGGGCTAGACTTTTATTTGAGTGTCTGAATATCATTCAAATAATAGTGCTGCTGAAAATGAATATGTACATTCATTTTTCTGAAATTCAGAAAAGATGCATAATATTCAGGTGCTTAATAACTTGGCTGCTAGTTAATCATGTTTGACACTTATGTAGCACTTCACCTTTTAAAATCATTTTAGAATATGTTAGTTCATTAATCCCTGCAACATCCATGTGAGACAGGGAAGATTCCTGATCCTGTCTCTTAGATGCTACAATGCTCTATCAAATACTTGGTGAACTAGAGAAGGAGGAAAGGAGATAAACCACACAGGGAAACTTATGCAGCCAAGAATGACAGGGACTTGAGGGTAGGGCCATGCTCCAACTTTGAGATTTGACCTTGATACAGAAACGTTCATCATCAGTGTAATAATTGCTATTCATTTCTGATTGGTTAAATGTAAGAAAATAGTACTGTACCTACATCTTTAACATCAAATGCCTGTCTCTACTCCAATTACTTAACTCTCTCAATGGTCATTTTCACCGATTAAGATGTGCTTCTAGTTTACATTTTCATGCTATCTGTACATTCATATTCCAAGTCCTGTTTCCCACCTCAACATATATTTTTTCTAGAAACCAGTACTGCTCTGATATTAACAACCAGTATGTTGTTAGCCATATTCCATTATAAATTATTTTATGTTTTCTTGTCATTTGGAGCATTCCCACAAATACAAAGAGGTAAAAATCAGTCCCAGCCCAGATTAATATACAATGTGTCTGGTTAGTAAAGAATCACCTTCCTAGCATCAGCTCATTCTGTTTTCTCAGGATACTAAACACTTTTTTTAAAGGTAGCATAGGACAGTAGTTAAGAATGAGCTGAAACTCTGGGATCAGGAAGACCTGGGTTTAAATTAATTGAACTAATTACTAATTGTATAACATTAGGCAAATTGTGCAATCTCTCAAAATTGTGTTTTCACAGGACAACCTTAGAACCAATTCGAAGAATTTTTACAAGATTAAATAATCACTGCAGGCTTAGCAGTGCTAGGAGTAGAGTGAGTGCACAGAAGTAAATATTATTAACTATCTCGAGGTCTCTTTGATATTCTCACATTCAATTTTAAGATATGATATTGAGGCTACCAAAAATGATAAACCCAGGAATTCCAGATATGGCTGCCTGTGTGTAATAGGAATATATAGTGATCCGTGTTAACACATAACGATCTTTATCCAGCCAGTCTGGGAACAGAAATGCTCTAAATCACCCAAAAGGTCAGACAGAACTTGTCGGCAGTTAGCAGACTAATATGCAATGTTGACCCTGGGCAGTCAGGGAATAGATGATTTGTCCATGATGGTCTATATTTTTCTGCTTGTGCCCTCTTTTCTCTTCTTGGGATATTTTCTTCATTCTATTTTATTTGGGGAAATTAGGGGGTTTTCAGAAGCCCCAAGAACTAAAGGATCACTTTACCTACTCTTGAGTGTTACTATCTGGCAGCACATGAGGAGTGAGCAAAAACTATGGTGAGTGCTTGCATTTTAAAAACTACAATAAAAGACAAATTTTCATTAACTTTTCCCCAAGAAATACTTCCCCTCATTTCAAACACATTTCCAACACACTCACAAAAGAGGACTTCTAGAACTGCTTCAGAAAGTAGCAAGAATGATGGGATAAGGAGATTATTTTGAGAAGGATTAATGGCAACATGTCTTTTACCATAACAAATATTATTTGAGCACTATATTTTTGATCAGCCCTTGTAAGCATCTTCAAGTTCCTAAAGTTAGCTTTTGTCCATCTCCCAGAACCAGTGTAATTTGGAAGAATAATTTTTCAGCTCCTTTTTTTCGCTCCAAACAGAAAGACAATCCATGATAAAGGGACATAACAGTGTCTCTGATTACATGCTAGTATGGCACATGACAAGGATGTTAGGAGTTGGGGAAGGCGTTAGCAAGTTCATGGCTTAATTTATCATGCCTGAAAATGTAGACTTTTTGAAGAATTAGTCCACTGAGGGAAAATATAGAAGGAAGCATTCTAACCATGGGGCTGTAGCAGAATGAACACTTATTTCACAGACACAATTGCAACTGCCAGAGGAGAAAATTTTTCCAAAACTATTTAATCTCTGAAATGGGCAATAAGCGTATCAGCCTGTTGGCCGTTACAACCTTGATGCAATGGTTCATAGCAAGTCTTTCCATGACCGAACCCTACCAGATTCATCAAGCATCTCCATTCTCCCACAATAAAAGTCTTTTAAGGCTCTGAGGATGAAGCAAGCTTTGTGTGTGGAATATATGCCTCTCTCTGTCACCAATGCAAAACCTGGGGAAGTGCTGGAAAAAAGAGCCTTGAAAAATGAGGATATTCATCTTGCAAGTGTTTGAGATGCTATTTCCAAGCTAATCTCCCCTACAAATCAAGGAGTCCAATTCAATTCAAGTCCAACTCAAGCTTGTCTTCCAGAACATCTAGTAAATCCTCAAATATACGAACTTGCTTTGTGTCTCACCTTCTAACCATTCTTTTCTCAGCTCCATGAGTTCATTATGGCTAAAAGAAGTATTAAATCTGGAATTAGCAGTCAGAGGATTTGCAAGGGCTACCCTTTTTTTCCCCCTATTATGTCCATTAATGGCAGCAACATCATAAACAATAAAGTTTAATTAGGGACTAAAGTGTCTATTGCAATTAAATATAAAGGAAGTATTCAAAAGCACAGCAGGAAGGATCATATTTTTAAAGCATTTAAATTGCAAATGATGTTATTGTTGGAACTTTAAAAAGAAATTTTGTGTGTGGATAAAAATAAAGAGAGAAATCTTAAGTGAAATATTGACTCAATGGCATTTACAGGCAAATAAATATTTAGGATAGATCAATTTGCAAACATGAGCAGACGCTTTGGGAAATATATAAAACTAATGGGAGCTGTCCTTAATTTCTACCTCACTGAGTCAATGAGGAAAAAAAAATCAACTTAAAGGATTCCAGAGTAATGACATGATTCATTAGTGTTAAGGCCACTTCAAATTAAAGGATTCATCTTCAGTTATTGAGAGAAGAAAGTTATTAATGAGCTTCATGCATGAATACTGGGAAAGGGCTGCAGCTCACTTTCTGGACATAAAAACCATCTGAATCTGTAGCCACACAGTTTTATGTTTCTTGGACCATGTTCTAAAAAATTTTATCCCAACACAAATGGGGTATGGCCACTAATCCATTGATGTAGGAATATTGTGAATTATAGTCAGAGTAAGTGCTAGAGAGAGGGGAAAAGTTTGTTACCACAGAGAGACTTGCAAAGGAATGGAGAAGATGAACTCATTTCAATAATTTTATATTCCAAAATATAGTGGTAGTATGTTCAGAAGACAGTGAAAGATGAAAACAGGTCAGGCATCTCTTTCCAAATGCTCTGAAGTGCTGAGCTTGTCATTGTTTTGGTAATTGTTCTTAAGCTTGGAACTTGACAGCCTGTTTTTATCTTTAACACTT